CATCACAAAAAACTTTGTTTTGTTTGAGGAAAGTGAGGTTTCGTAGACATGAATTATGAAGAAAAGATTGGTAACATTCTTAAGTTCATATGAAGAAATGAATTTAAATAGTTTTAATTCTGTTAGTCCTTTTTTTTTCCATTTATTTTTATTAGTTGGAGGCTAATTACTTTACATCATTGCAGTGGTTTTTGTCATACATTGAAACGAATTAGCCTGTTAGTCCTAATGATGGAACAATTGACAATGATGTTGATTCAACACTGAAGCAAATTATTAAAGAAAGTTACAGAGTTTTCATTTCAGACCATGAGAGAGAGAGAGAGAGAGAGGCATCAACAGAATAGAGTGTTTTCATCTGCGTAGAGGTAAATTTGAATCGGAAGTGAGTTGTTCTTTTAAACATTTATCGTCTTTCTACTTGAGTAGCATATGAAACAGACCCATAACGTCACTGTTGCTACACTTTATTGATATATTGCTAATTCAATATTTTTTTCAAGTGATGGGGGTAAGACAGCATCTCAACTAAACTTTTTGGTAGCATCATCCTGTTAGTACTTGGTAAAAGTTTTTCTGTTGGGCCTTAAGAGTTTAGGAAAAGTAACTGAAGACTGAATTAGAGTAACTAAATGCAATTTTCTCTTGGTTGGTGAAGGTATTAACTCAGTGATTGGATTTAAGTTGAGCTTTGAACAAGGTAAAGAAAATTTGGTAAAATGAAGTATGGTATAGCACCATCTTAATATTTGACCTGAAAAGTCAAAGTGAATCATGCCTGCAACTTCCTTTGAAATGTTTCAGAAAAAAAAATATATGTGTAGATAGACTGACACAGAATAAATAATAAAGCAAGTGTGGTAAAATGTTAACATTTGAGGAATCTGCATGAAGGTTATGTAGGAACGCTTTGTACTATATTTGCAACATTTTTGTAAGACTGGAATTATTTCAAAGTAGAAAGGTAGAAAGAGATGACTGTTACCTATCATCAGTCAGCTTTCTCATTAGGCTCTGTCTTCTTTAGCATGTTTATGCAGCCAGTGAAGTCTCTTGTCTTTCATCTCTGGTCTACGTTGCTTGCCATTTTTCTGAATGACTTCAGTGTCTTGAGAGGTAGCATTCCCTGTACCGATACCTTCATTTCTTCCTCTCCAAGTACTTCATCATCAGTCTATTTAATCAACACATTTCCAGATCTACCACATCTTGTCTTTACAATGTTACTCATTTTACAGGTTTTTACTCCTCAGCTATAGCATCTTGTCCCTTCAAAACACCAAATGACTTTGTTTTTCCTAAAGCTCTTCCTTCTCTTTTGTACTCATTCTTCCTGTTCTCTTATTCTTACCATCTGTCAGCTTTTTCTTTACTTAACTCAAACCCTTTGACAGTTCATTACTTTGCATATTTCTATTTGTCATGTTTTGGAATAAATGCCTTTGTGAAATCATCCAGTCTTCCAGTTGAGCATCAGGATGTCTAGTATGTTTTGTTTGTGCTCTTTGTAGCCCTAGCATGCTCCTTAGTACATTGTCTTCAAATTATTAGATCAGTTTGTCTTCTTCACTGTACTGTAGAGTCTTTGAGGGGAGGATCTGTTTCTTACCCATCTTTGTTTTCCCAGTACTTATCACAGGATATATCACACTGTGGCATTTCCATGGATAATTATTAAGTGAAAGTGAAGTTGCTCAGTCCTGTCTGACTCTTTGCGACCCCATGGACTGTAGTTTACCAGGCTCCTCCATCCATGGGATTTTCCAGGCAAGAAGACTGGAGTGAGTTGCCATTTCCTTCTCCAGGAGATCTTCCCAACCCAGGGATTGAACCCGGGTCTCCCACATTGTAGGCAGATGCTTTGCCATCTGAGCCACCAGGGAAGTCATTAAATTAATGAATAAATAAATAAATTGTGGGGTCAAACTTTCTATACAAATGATCAAATTCCGATATCAGGAAACGCAATATGGCAGGGTAGAGGACTATTGAGAGCATTCAGAGGATTTAAGGAAGATTTGCTAAAATAGTTGGTCCAAAAAAAAAAGTAAAAGGCAGACAGGAAGGAAAATTTTATAAGTCACCTTGTTTACTTTAAAGTAAAATTAAATTCTCAGTAGAAGAATATGGATCGTTTCAGATCAGTCTCCAAATATCTAATGAACAGTTTCAGTTAGGAATCTAAAATCTTTTACTACAGAACAAGATCAGAAACATCCAGAAATAGAGCCAAATCACATAGTATGAATTCTTCAAAAGTATTAAACATTTAGAATTAAAATCCAGAAGTGCATTAGAACTTTATGAGTTTATTTTGATAATACTTCAAGAGTTAATGATTACTCGGATCCAGGAGGGATCAGTAAAGAACCCTCTTATTGGCAAGGTTCCATGTCTGCTCTCAGTTTGAAGAAGATAACACATTCACAGGTGAAAAGACCATGATTTACCAAGAGTTCAGGGATCACAAAATTTGACGTTAGGTAGGCTGACGTGGGGGCTTCCCAGGTGGCACAGTGGTAAAGAATCCACCTGCCAATGCAGGAGACGTGGGTTCAATCCCTGGAGTAGGAAATGGCAACCTGCTCCAGTATTCTTGCCTGGAAGATTCTAAGGACAGAGGATGCTGGTGGGCTATAGTCAGCGGGGTTGCAAAGAGTGAGTGCTTGTGAGTGCCTCTATACTCGGTGCATGATTGAGCGCATGAGAGAGAAGCTGAAGTAAGAAAGAGAGGTGTAAATGTGGTAATGAAAAGCAATATAGATATCAGGGATGAGGTAAAGTCAGCGCTCAGAGTTAGAAATAAAAAAGCTCAGTGAAGAGATGTTGCATTACATCCAGAAATACAGAGGTGAAAACATGGGACAAGTTGCAGATAACGGTATGTTTGTTCTCAAAAACAGGTTAGAGAGTCAAGACTTAAGACTCTGAAGCAGTTGATAAGGTGTTGCCATGGGGCACGCGGGAACCTTGCGTGCTGCAACCCATGGGCTTGCAAAGAGGTGAACACAATTGAGCAACTGAACCGCAGCAGTAACAAGGGGAACTGGGGGCTTTTCCCAACTGGCTGTGTTCCTTGGCTTATCCTTTTACCTGTTGAAGAATCTTTATACTTTATAAATGGAAGAATAGCATAGGGCCTAATATTAATATTTATCTTCTGATATGCTCCTGGAGACAGTTTTTGTTGTTTTGATATTGTTTTCTATAGCTGTAATTTTCTTTAAATTACTTTAAAAGTCATAGGCTAGTGCTAAAAAACATGGTCGGTTAATGATATTATCTTGGTGTCCATTTATAAAATTTTATAATACCTTATTCAGATTTGGGGGTACTAATACCAGCCTATTCTAGAAATGTAGCATGATGAACATCTACAGCAAGTCAGATATTTTGAAATGTCAAGAACCAACAAATAACCTTCAGATACATATAATTGTTGAAGTTTAAAACAGAATATAATGAAATTCCATAGATATGTAATTATGATAGCATATTTCCCAGTTGATGCCCTCAGTGAATTTAAGAGTAATTGACCAAAAATGAATGTTTTCTGGTTTAGCATTCAGCCACGTAAGATAATGTCCAGGACTTGGAGTGTATGACTGGCTATACCTAATTTCAGCATATATATATATATATGTATATAAAAGCAAAGAATTTCTTCTGAAAGAATGAGTGCTTTGTGAGGGGTACCTTATTTATGTTTTCCTATTTTGTTTTTATTGTAAAACTACTCTTCTGCCTCAAAAGGATTTTAAGTGTGACAAATTAAAGAAGGCATCATAAACAAGCAGGTGCGACTCACCTGCTGTTTAAAATTGAAGAATTGTTTCTATTGGAAATAATAAAGTACTAGTTTCAATCAGTATTTGTGGTCGTTGATCTGACTTATTGGTTAAGAGAGAGTTTGTTTTGCTCACTTGTGTGTGTGTAGTTTTCTCCCCGGAATTTCACTATAAATCAGATATACACTGTTCCTTTGAATAGCTATTTAATAGTTACAGCTTGAGGTAACTAATTTTTATGAGATAGCCAAGCTTTTCAAAATATTCTCTAATGTATTATACATATCTGATGAAAGATAAGTTAAAAAATAATTCTCCTTGTATTATTTCCCTTTTAATATAATGATGCTGATTACAAAAATAATAGCTAACATTTATTGATGTGCCAGACTGTAGGCCAAGTACTTTGTCTTCATTAATTCAGTTAATCCTTGCAGCAACTCAGGTAAGCAGTATTATGTTTCCACTTCACAAAGTCTGAGGCATGGATGGGTGAAGTAACTTGCCCAAAGTTATGTTGTCAGTAAAGACGGGATTCTAACTTGGTCTGATATCAGAATCCCATGTACATTATCACTTGACTGTAATCAGTTAACTTACCTTATCCTGTTTTTCAAATTCTAGAGAAAAAAGTAATGTAGAAAATAATAACCTAAATCAGTGGTGCCCAGCCTTGATTTTATACTAGAATCTTGTGATCACACCCAGGGATCTTGATTTAATTAGTATAAGGTGAACCTGAGCTTTAGGATTTTTAGAAACTCCTCAGTTGATGTAGACTTCCCTGCTGGCTAAGCGGGTAAAAAATTTACCTGCAATGCAGGAGACACAGGTTCGATCCCTGGGTCAGGAAGATCCCCTGGAGAAGGGAATGGCAACCCACTCCAGTATTTCTTGCCTGGGAAATCCCATGGACAGAGGCTACAGTCCATAGGGTTGCAAAGAGCTGGACACGACTGAGTGGCTAACCACACACACACAGCTGATGTGCACTTAAGGTTGTAAACCACCGTCCTACTCTGCTGTCTGATTGGAAATGGAAGCATTAATAGCAAAATCACCCCATACATGTTTGTCTGATTACAATAGGAATAAGGTTAGTAAGTGCATGTTTAAAGCTACAAAACCATTTATTTACAGAAAAATACTCTTGATCGATTTAATATGTAATGATGTTTTAAATATCATGTTTTTATTTTGTTTTAAATGCAGACATAACCCATAGTTACCTTGAACAAGAGACTACAGGCAGAAATAAAAATACCCAGCCAGATGAGCAACTGCCTGTGAATTCTAAGGGAAGCATGCATCAGAAATCCAATGAATTAGTTAATGAAGCTACATATGAGAGCACAGAACTGCCAGAGCAGAGATCAAGGAATTTTCAAGTCATCAGCCCTCATCCAGGTGATGAGACAGCTTACTGCACTGCAGGAAAATCCAAGTGAGTGCTTGCAGCCTTAGATTTAGAAAGTAAGAACTGGGAGAACTTTTCCTTCTTCTCTTTTTCCCTCTGTCTCTCCCTTTCTTTTTGATGTGGCCTAAATTTGATGTATGGTTAACTTATTAGAATTTGGGGAGTTTTCTGCTATTTTCGTTACATTAATATCATGTGTCTAAATCACTGAGTGAAAAAGCACAGGATGAGCCTGAATGAAGGTCGTGATGATTTTTTTTTTAATTGTTTTGTTTTTGTTTGTTTGGTCCTGAGGTTTTATATTTTGTTGAGTATTGTTTTAGGTGACTTTTCATTAAGAACCTGGAAATAACTATTACATTGATGAAAATGGTACATTTTTCATCAGAACCATTACCTGGCAGCTCCACGAAAAGACAAGCCCAAAGATATGTTTTGCTTTTGGTCAGCACTGTTCTTCATTTAAATGAGTTTGACTTCTTTTAGAAGGGTCATCTACTCTCCCATTTATATTCCTTGATATTTTACATTTTGTAGTTTCTACCCAGTCACTTTACCTACCTGTTTTATGAAGAGATTTGAATTTGTGACACCTGTGACTTTTGCCTGTAAGAGTAAAATTCTTTGATAATTAGTCACGTACTATGAAAATATTGCTACGTTTAAAGATTCTCAATGACTAACATAATTATATTGAAATATAAATATTGTGTTTTCAGTCCAGACAAAATAATAATTATGGAATACTTTTTAACAGAGTTTTATGTGGGAATACCTGTTTGTATTTACTTAAAAATTATGAAATAGATATGTTAATGAATATTGATATATAATGAAGAAGATATGTTAATATGATCCAACCCTCTTCGCAGTCAGTTATATTCTTATGAAAGTGCAGATTGGAGTATGTTTTTGGGGAGTAGGGATGAATGAAGAGGTGATAAATTTTATAACCACATGGGAAAGGTAAATAGTAGAGATTGGGCTAAACTCATCTACTTTTCCCTTCCCATCCTTTATAGTACTTGCTAACAAGTTAACTATTATTCTCAGATAGCATACACATTGTCAAAAATTTATTTTGCTTACCCCTAAGTGTTACAGGAATAGGTTTTCATTTTTAATATGCTGTGATTTTAATAATACAAATATGATATTCTGTCATTTATAATGAAAAATTATTTGTTGTTCCCAGTTTCAGAAAGGTAAGACTGTATCTAGAGTCCTAACCAAAAGTACAAATTGAATTAATATTCATAACCCTTTAAAAACTGAATTCTTTAATTGTACTGAACCATGCATCTCTATGGTGGTGGTGGTCTAGTCGGTAAGTTTTGTCCAACTCTTGCGACTCCACAGACTAGTCCTCCTGGCTCCTCTTGTCCGTGGGGTTTCCCAGGCAAGAATACTGCAGTGGGTTGGCATTTCCTTCTCCCCGGAATCTTCCTGACCCAGGGATCAAACCTGGGTCTCCTGTATGAATCTTTATAGTTATTACCAAATGTTTTTCACAGATTTAACTCTTCCTTGTGAAATTGGTATATTAGTACCTCTGTGAATTTGTGATGTTTATTCTTTTTCATCCATAGTATTAAGAGAAATTTTAAATTAACTAATTTTACATATTTATTGTTAAACTTGTTTCCCCTGTTTAAAGTATAAAATGTATAGATCCTGTATGGTAGAAATTATGTGTATGTTGTTTTAATAGTTTTCTTCATTACAGCTTTATGGACCACAGAAATAGTGATTTGCATTGCGAATGTACGATTCCTTGTCAGGTTACTTCAGACTTAAGTAAAGAGGAGACAATAGCATTGCTTCTAAAAGAATTGAACAGTCTCAAAGCAAGCAATAAAAAGGTACAGTATAGAAAGTCTGATAATTGTAGAGTATACTTTTAGTTATTGACCTTCTAAGTTTGCTTTGTCACTCATCATAATTCAGTTTTATTGTGTACTTTAATCCTGTAACAGTAGCCTTATGCTGTTGCCATACCATGCCATTCAGGGTATGATTGAATTGAGACATGGGCTATGAAAAGCAATTTCTTTTATTTCCTAACTTGGTGGCTTGCAGTATCACTCGCTTTTTCATAATCTATAGTACTTTGCATAGGTGCCTATAACATTCAAGTTTTACTTCATTGGTTTCATGCTACTTTCTTAACTTTTTTTCTTTGTAGTATCTGTGCCCTGTATTTCACCTCAGTACTGTATGTAAACTTTAAAGTAGCAAGGCTTGGAAATATTGTCATTTACCTTGTGTTATCTTACATTGCTGTATTTTGTCCAATTGAATTTTTCATGTCACTTCTGGCTCTTTTTCTACATTCCTTTGAGCTTTAAGTAATGTTATTAAATAATGTTCATTTTCTATGCTTCCTACTTTTCTGATTCTAATATTCTATTTGTTTGACCTAATCAAACTGAAACATGATGTTAGGAGTGTTGATCATGTCTGATGGAAAACAGCACAAACGACAAAAGCTGAGGGAGAAATTAAGAATAAAACATTTGGAAGGACTCCATATGAAAGCATGAGATATTTTCTGTACTTTCATCTAGCAGTTATTTATTGCATACCGATCATGAGTCAGGTGCCAGCGCCAATTTAAATGGAAGTTGATGGCATAGCATTCTCAAAGGGAGATTTGTATCAAATATTAAGATTATTATCTTAATTAATTTTGTTTCAATGTATTAGAATTACTAAGAGAAGCTGTAATTTGTGCTATCCTTTATTTTACTACAATGGTCCCTTCCAAGCCTTTTGCTTTAAGACAAAAGAATTTATCAGATTGCTTTTTGTTGCAGTATATTTGATAATAATAATGTTCCCTTAAAGATTTTTTTTTCCCAAGAGTTACGTATTCATAAAGTTAATATGGTATTCTCTAAGAGTTTAGAGAAAGTAAAAATTAACTCTGGGATTAATTATATTTGTGCAAGAGATATATTCGTAACAATCCATGTTTTTTTCAATGTTTTTTAGCTTCAAGAAAAACTGAGTAAAGAAGATAAAGAACACAGAAAACTGAAGCTTAAACTGGAACTCCAAGAAAAAGCAACAGAAGCTCAAATTGCTGAAAAGACAGCAGGTATTGCATATGAGTATGAACATATGGCATTAAAAATCATACACAAGGTTGTTATCTGATGTGGCTTGGTGAATACTAGCATGCTAGCTTATTTGCCAAAGGAGGGAAAGCTCTGGGTTTTTTTTTGGCTGCTTAGAAAATAGGTGGCTTTAACATCCTGGTACTGGTATTAGTGAGAGCTTTACCTGTATTCATACTGATTTGGGCATTAAATGCATTGTTAACACCATGTCAATCCAATCACAAAAAGGTTGTTTGTTTTGTTGGAAGGGCCTGAACAAACAAGGGGAAATAATGATTACCAGTGCCTCTACCTTTCATCCCAGCAGTTCACATATCACTTATTGTTTTAGCTTGTTGAGAGGAAATACTTCTTTGTGTGAAGATAGTCATATATTCATTGCCAGTGGAAACCTACATTTGATTCAAAAATCTGTTTTGTGAAGTTAATTTTCATATGATGACATGGATGATGATGAAGATAATGTTTTCCCTGAAAAGATTAAAGTAAAAGATTGCCTGAGTTTAAGATTATAAATGACTGCCTAAAATATGTTTTGGAATCTATGTTCACTCACAAGTCTTCGTAAAGAGAGAAATTTTTTAATGTATCTGTAATGAGTTACAGATATGGTCAATTATCTCTGATGGACTCTTTCTCTTTCTCTCCTTCCCTAAATCACTTTATAATTCACTTTATAAATCACTTAACCTGGTTGCCTTATATAAAAGAATTCTGGTATTTTAGGTCAGAGATACAATTAACAGGTATAATATGTCTTCAAGACATTATTGTGCAAAGTAGAACATCACTAAGAAAACATAACAAAGATGATCAGAAATAAATATTCCAGCCAAATACCAGATGTCTGTTTTTTGATTAATGTTAAACTACTATGAATTTTTTGTTTCTTTTTTAGTGGGAAAATATGAAAGTAATGTATTTTAAGGAAATTTAACAGTATGTTAAAATGGATAGTTCAAATATAAATTTAGAACACTTAAGTTTCTTTGCTTTTTATAATCAAATATGTGTACTAATTGCTGGAATGATATTATAAGAAGTACATCTGTTTTTAATGTTTGCATTATAATTTAACTTTGTATATGTCTTTCAGATATAATTTATTAAGGTTTAGACCATTGTGATTTATTGAAAATCATGAATTAGTATGTCTGCATAGCTCATTTGTCTCTTGTAGGGGAAAACTGATTAAGCATTAATATTTACTCTTTAAACTTTTGTATAGTATAGCTAATCGTATGCTTTAAATATTTATTTATTGGTATATACTTATGGGTTCCCTGTGACTAAACAGTATGAATCATGCCTTCATAAGATGGAAAGAATTTGATTGCTTTATGATTCTTGTTAATCAAATTTTCTCATTAATGACAAAATACTTTAATGTTGAATGTTTGAAAGATGTTTAGTATATTTCTATAACGTCCTAAGTTGATGAAAATAAAAGTGCTACATAGTTTCTCTGGAGCTAAGTAATACTGTTTTAAATCAAAATAGTCCATGTTAAAAGAAATACATGCTAAAACATCTGGACATTGAAAATTGCAAATAGGATACAAAAATGTACATCTATACGTTTTTCAATTAAAATGATAATTAAAATATGTGATATTCTAAGGAAATAGCCATTTGCTTTGAGTATATGATTTGTAAATATTTATATAAATAAGAATATTTGTATCAGTATTAGTTATGATAGCAGTAAATTTATGGTATGAGACATTTATGGTATGAGACATGCAGTAATTTAAAACCATTTAGGAAGAATATTTAATGATATGAGAAAAACTTTATGACTCAAAGTTACGTGAAAATTAGGGGGAAGCTGTATTCTTGATATAATTTTGTTAAAAACTATATATCCATATATGTAATATAAAATTAGAGTCAAGTTTTGGTTTTGTGAATGGATGTGTAAATGCTTCAGTTACCAATTTCCTGCCTTTTCAGGCAGTGAGTGTGGATTAGATTTAGTATTAGAAAAAGTAAATGTTACTTTTAAAAGATGTAATTTTTTGTTGTTACTTGCTCTCTAATCTTAAAATCATTTCTAGGTTAGGTTTGACACATAAAGATTATATAAACCAAAATTATATGAAATCTATGTGATGGCTTTGATCAAATGTTGCCATTTTACCTGTGCTGTTTTTCTTGTCTTTCTGATTTTTCCCTTATTTATTTTTATGTCTCTGTTATGTAACATATATGTATTAGTCCATCTTATCTCCCCCCCATTGATTGTATAATTCATAAGAATAAGAATCTTGTATAATCAAAACCATATAAAAACAAAACGTTCCCAGTACTCCATGAGACAGATTGAAGCAATGGGAAGATATAAGCTTGGGAATCAGATGGACTAAGGTTCAAATCACAGCTTTGACCCTTAATACCAACCATGTGCCTTTGGGCAAGTTACTTATTAGCCTCTCCCATGTCAGATGTAAATATTAACTAATTTACCAGATTATTTTAAGGATTAGAGATAATGTATAGAAGCACCTAGGGTATAACTGGTACTCAGTAAATTGTAGCTAATAGTAATACTTGCTTACTTTTATCTTTATGAAATTCTTAAACCTTTGATAATGTCAGAAGTCATGATGATATTTTTATTCTGTTTAGCTTTCAATTAGAATTAATAGTTTACTGTTAATAGATTTTAAGAGGGAAATAAAGAGAAAAGTATAAGGAGAAGGTTTGGAAACCAGGATTGGATGATGAGAAAAATTCCCGAAAAATGTATTATCACTAATTATCACTAATACATTTTACTTAAATGTGGATCTGAAATGAAATAGGATGCACAAGATTTGGGTTTTAATCTGATATATACTTATGGTAAACCGTCAAGTAGACTGTACTGTTTCCTTTGCTTCTCTGTTAGTTTTTAATGTGAATAATGTACTGTCATTGTAAAGTGATGTCATGAGTTTGAAATGCAATTGTATCATGTATCTTGATAAAATCTCAAATGGTTGACTTTTTACCTTAAGCATCACCACCATTGATACTTTTAGTAGGCATTTAATTGGAACTATGCTGACCTCTTTAAAAGTTAAACAAGAAATATTTATTGAAGGGTTTGTATATACTAGACACTGTGCTAGGCACTAAGTATGCATCAGCAAATAAGACAGATTTGGTATTTCAGACATGTCTTTCTGTTTGCAGTCACTTCTTATTCATAATACGTCATTGTAGTAGGTGGTGGTAAATGCTTACTTAGACTTTGGATTCAGACCTTTGTTCTAATCTTTTTACTACTTATCATGTGTAAGTGACAGCCTCACGAAGATTTGGTTAAAACCTACTTGATAGGTTGCTGTGACATTTAAGTGAAATAATGTTTATGAAGTAGTTAACCCATTAGAAAGCACTCAATAAGTGGTAATTATGATGATAAGGAGATGGTGTTAGCATCTTGTTTCCTTAAAACTTCTTGATCTAATAGGGGGCATATCATAGTATAGCTAATATAAATAACTATTTCATAGTTACTTATATATAACTTTGTTTTTTATATTCCTTGTTAAAAATATATATTTTATTTACTTCATCTTATCCACATAGATTTTAGTTTTCCCTGACTTTTCAGAATTAACTTTGTTTGGAAAGTTTGAAAATATGAAAAATTTTAAAATCTCTACCAAAAAGAGAATAAAGGAAAATATATGCTATGTAGGTCTTAATGTGTTTTAATTCATTAAATTATACATGTGGATAATATGATGTAAATTATTGGCATCTATGACCTTCCGATACTAGGAGATATTTCAGAGAAGCACAGCTGAAACATTGTCCTTTAAGTATCTTTTCTCATCTAAATAAAAGTGATTAAATCACAAACACTTCAAAATTTCATTTATTTAAATTGAATTTGACAGAGATAGTATTGTATTACCTTATTTGCATCCACTTAATTTCTCTTAGGTGAGTGATGTTATGACTTTTAAAAATAATTTGTTAATAATTAAACCTTTCATTTTTCTGAAACAATCTTAGTGGACATTTTTTAGTGTTTAATGTCTTAATTTTTATTAATCTATTGCATTTATAGTATACAGAGGATGTGTGAATTTTGGCACAAAGAATATTTATTTAAATAGTTTTTTTAAGTTATTTTTGTGATGTTTAGAATATTTATATTTCTTTAAAAGCTTTATTTTTCTGTTTCTTAAACCCTGTCTTTAGAGTCTCTCCTCTATATGTTATTTTTCTTGCTTGCATGTCATCCATTAAAGATTAGCTGTGGAAGCTTGGAGCATGGAGAGATTATGAATGACAGAACAACTGCTGTAGAATAATAATCAGTTTTTGGTATTTAATGCTGTTTGACTTTTGCAGACACATTTCTTATTAACCTTTGGTACAAAGAGAAATCCAGGTTCCTGATATCTCATGGAGAAGATGAATTTGAGATCCTCTTCCAATTAAACTGAAATAAGGCCAATATTGGGTTTTAGCCAAAAGAACTCCTTAGTTCCTTATATAAATCTATCTATTTCTTAGTTACATTTTGCATATAATTCGGCGGTTATGTAATTTGGTTAGTTAGCATACCATACTGATTCTGCAAGCATTTAATCCACCTTTTCTCGGTAAACAAATTCTTTTCTGTACATCCAAATTTAGACTGCTAGTAAGAACAATTAAGTCTTTCTTATTACAGGGAATTTTCGTTTATTTTTGGTAGAGACAAAATAAGTTTATTGTCCAAAGCATCAGAACATAGAATCCCTGAAATATGTAACTTATGTTTTTCTACTCAGATTAATATGTAAATGTTAAAAGTGTAGATATATAATCTACTGTTGTAGCAAATATATTAAGATACCCAACTAGTTAACATGTAAAAATAAAAATTGTTGTAAGACAATATGTACATTGTTCTCTTGTAAAAAAGCTGTTACTATATACAGTATCTCTGATGATGCTGATCATATAATGATTAAGAAGAACAAGAGTCATTTAG